AGTACAGAATTCTGACAGTGCCTACAACAACTTTCCCCTTTTGGGAGGGGGGGGGTGTCTTTTTGAAACAAGGTCTCCCTGTAGCTCCAGCTGGCCTGGAACTCACTATGTAGACGAGGCTGGCCTCACAGAGATCTGCCTCCCAAGTGTTGGTACTAAAGGCATGCGCCACATCCAACAACTTATACTTTATAGTGCCTATTAAAAGCAAACTGATTCCCAAATACGATCAATACGGGTTGAGAACAGCCATTGGTCACTTTGATTTTTTTTTTTTCCAATTGAGGCCTGGTTTCCCTGTAGCCTCAGCTATGGAAATTTGCCTACCTTTGCACTCCGAAGTGCTGGGATTAAAGGCGTGTGCTACCATGCCTGACTTAGTTTTTTGAAGACTGAAATATCTAGGAAGAGTGTGTGCCTTGTATATGCAGGGTCCTGGGTTTAAGCCTTAGCAACACCTTTTCTCCCTAGAAAAGAAAAATCTTAATGGATTTGATTTTTTTTTTTTTGTGACAGGGTCTCCTTGTAGCTCCAGCTGTCCTGGAACTCACTGTGTAGGCCAGGCTGACCTCAAACTCACAGAGATCCGCCTGCCTCTGCCTCCCGAGTGCTAGGATTAAAGGCATGCGCCACCATGCCTGACCTTGATTTTTTTTTTTTTAAATGAGTGGTATATAAATGATATGCAATTTTTCTAATATACAGAGCCTTTGATCCACACATTTTAAAATTTGCATATAGGTTGTACGAGGGCACTACAAAGGTCAGCAGATTGGCAAAGTGGTCCAAGTTTACAGGAAAAAATATGTCATCTACATTGAGCGGGTGCAGCGGGAAAAGGCTAATGGCACAACTGTCCATGTGGGCATTCACCCCAGCAAGGTATGTATATTTGAGAATGCTTGAGAGAAAAAGAAATGACTGCAGTTATTTTTGGTGGGTGTGATTGTGTATTTACAGAGCATCCCTGGAAATGGTTCCTGGTTTTTTAGATGTTTTAGAAACATGTCTTAAAGCAGTACTGCAGTTTAAAATTTTTAAATAGTACTTAAACTGTGAAATCCAAGTTCTCTTACTCTGTATGTTCATTTGATGTATCTTTTCCACAAAAACTTTAGTGAACTGATCAACAACCTAGTGATCTACCCTTGGGGGGTGTGCTCCTTTTTGAGACAGGGTCTTCCACCTGGCCTGGAACTTGAATGCAGACTGGCCTTGAACTCACAGAGATCCGCCTGCCTCTGCTTCCTCAGTGCTGAAAGTGTGCACCACCATGCCTGGGTAGATCTACCTTTTTTTTTTTTTATAATGTATGCATGAGTGTTATGCCTGCATGTAAATAAGTGCACCTGTGTAGGGCAATGCTAGAGAAGGACAGAAGAGGCTGTCTGATCCCCTAGAACTGGAGTTACGGACAGTGTTAGCTGCCATGTGGGTGCTGGGATTCAAACCAGGTCACACAGGGTAGAGCCAGGACAGCCAACAGATACTGGGTGAGATAAGCAGACTTTTAAACTAGATTCCTGGTAATTTGCACATCTGGGTGTAATTTGTCACAGAGCAACCTTAGCACTGTATAAAGTGGCCATGCTGTCCAAACAGTGAGCTGAAGGTTTAATTTTGATGATTCAGTATTGGCAGACTGAGCAAGGAAGCCCAAGAGGCAGAGAATAATGGGAGCTGAGGAAGAGTAGTGGGTCTTTGTGGGAAGAGAGGAAGATGATGGGGGAGATCTGGAGAGTGGTAGGGGATTTTTAAGGAAACTAAAAAGCTCTTGCTGAAAGCAAGCTAGTGAGACTGTAAGGACCAGAAGGACTGACAAGGTAGGAAATTAGTAGTCTCAAGTCCTAGGCTCGCCCCTGAATGCCTCTCTTGAGCCACAGGACCTAGTTCCTAGAAAACGTCATGCTGTCTCTCTCCTCCATCCTTTCCCTCAAGCTATTCCCACTGCCTCATGGAGCTAATTTTAACATTCTTTAAAACTCAATCAAGGGTGACCTCACCCTAGAAGTCTCTCCTGACCCCAGAGTTCATTTCTACCCAGAAGCATAAAAGCATCAAAGGCAGCTGGTCCAGTGAGTAGTTTTCCTGTGATGCTGAGTTTGCTGCTTCCCTTGACTACTTCTCTTGGATAATGACTTCCTGCAAGCACACACTTCGAATTATTTTCTGACTCCAGCATCTACTTCAAGGCTGGCCCATGAAAGATGCTCCATAGTATTTGTGAGGGTTTGGGGCTTTTGTGGGTTGTTTTGGTTTGTTTTGTGTATTTGGTCTTTTTTTTTTTTAGATAGGGTCCAGCTGGTCTGGAATGCTCTATGTAGATCAGGCTGGCCTTGCTCTCACAGAGATCTGCCTGTCTCTGCCTCCCGAGTGCTGGGATTAAAGGCAAGCGCCACCACAGCCGGCTCCGAAGTATCTGCTGAATAGAGTTGCAGCAGAGGAAATCTCAGTTTTTCAATTACAAATAAAATTGGGGCTCTTTCCTTTATGGAATATTTGAAAACACCACTATTTTAAAATCATGAACAATACCAGGCATGGTGGAGCCCATCTTTAATCCCAGCACTCGGGAGGCAGAAGTAGGCGGGTGTCTGGGAGTTTGAGGCCAGCTTGGTCTACAAAGTAGGGGCTACTGGGAGACCCTGTCTCAAAAAGACAATAAAAAAATAAAATAAAATAAAAATAAATCTTTACATGGACAAAAATGGAAAACAAAATCTTTCTGAAAGTTGTCTTCTTCTTCTCAGGTACTCTCTCACCAGCTCTCCACCCAGTTCCTCTCCTTATCATTAGATAGCTCCTGTGATCAGAGCAAACAAGTGGTACTCCTAATTCACCCATATCCTGTCATTTCCTTTCCTCTCTCTGTAGCTGGTTGATTTTCCTCACAGCATTATTCTTCACTGGATATTACATATCAGTTCATCTGTTTGCTCCTATCTGCCCTGGCACGGGTATTCCCTGAGGGCATGTACGTTTCTTAATCCACAATTACAGTGGCAGCACTTTTATAGACCTGGCACATGCCAGGTGATATATAACCATCAATTAATGCATAAATGAAAAAAGATGAATTACACTTCTTTTTAAGAAACTT